AAGAAAAAACCCTGCCTAATCCCCAGGAAAATACACACAGATGCTGACTCCAAAACAAGCAGCCACTCAGTAACCCAACCCCCCCCCACATTTCTTTAAATACCCACAGAAAGGGCACTTCACCCCGGGCGCAGAGAGAACTGCTCCTGTCTGTGCTCCTGCACTCTGAAGATGCTGGTCACAGGTGAAACGTTAGGAAACAAGACTTCAAGACCATGGCCACACAGCCCGGAAGACCCACACCAGCCAACATTTTTACCATTTAACCATTTAGTATGCATTGCTAAACTAAGTTAACAGCAATTAAGGTTTCAAGCTTGCGCAGATCCTGACAGGCAAAACCCATTTAGAATCCGTTGCATTGCTAACAGTGGGTTGTTGCATGCTAAAGACGTCATATTTTTTCAAGATGGAATTAGATGCCTCCTCTGGTTCGGCCAGAGTTGTGGGGAAATTCAGTATGAGTGCCTCCTTAGATTTGGGAAACGGTGCTGGCCTGTGCCAAGGCGTGATGTAATCTTTGCCCTTTACACCTGTTTGAAACCAGATCTAAGAGGGGAGGGTAGAACATGGAAAGTTAGGTTTTCTTCCCCTTATCATATTCTAGATCACCTTTCCTCTCAATCCTGTTAAGCATTCAGTTAAGTACCAGACGTGACCAGCAATGATTAATTCATTCCTTTCGGTGTGTTACGTTGGCAAGAAAAGATCCGAGATGTGCTCAGCTTTCATCACCAGTTCCAGCCTGGCCTCTACCTCTTGGCCTGGCACTGCACAAGGAAGGAAGCAACTGATGGCAAAGAACTGCCACCTTCACTGATTTCTGTTTTTATCCGCTGGATTGGCCCGGACCTCTCTCTGCAGAGGCCGTTAATTCCAACTGCTATACGAGGAAAGGCAGCGGCGATCCTGGTTCCAGGAGGGCATCATCTCAGCCTTGCTCGGTGAGCAACCAGCATCACTGTCCTATTCAACCAGTACCTTTATATTGTAAACTGCTCGGCATGCACCTGTATATAAGAGGAAATAAACTTCCACAGATGTGCTTGAACAGCAGGTCCTTCTAAGAATTTTATAGCTTTAAGAACTAAGTTTGCTTGCTCTCAGTGCATCATTCTTTTCTCTTTCTGTGTTGTGTGTTCTTTTGGATTGTGACACTGAGAACAGGGATTGTTTTATTTTTATTAATCTGTAATCTCTTTTGACAGTCCTGGCCAAGACCATAACTGCTGTAAAAAGCTTAGAGGTAATACAAGCAGTCACAGGGCAATTGATTCACAAAGGTTTTCCATGCTGGCTGTTGCCAAATGTTTCAAGACAAAGGACACAAAGCTAATCTTTCTGTTGAATTGTGCAATTCTGTTCCCGTGGGAGACCTAAAGGCACTGCAGGGTTAGCTTTCCTTTGAATTCTTTGAGCCACCTAATTTTCACCGAAATGACCTGAGTTGTCACACCACTGCCAACAGTGGAAGCCGGACTGTCTTATTTTAAAATATTGGCTATTTTAGGAGCTCAAAGAATTGCCTCCACCAAACAGACATTTCTGAGCACCGGCTCTCTGCAAAGGTGGTAATAGTGATAATTCATGAGATTTGCAAGGCCATATTAGAGAGATTCAAGGCAGCTTGCAGTTAAAAAGGTAATGGCAGTAATGAATGTGAAATACTTTCTAGAAGCGTTGTGTAAGAATTATTGTCCTTAGAACAGATTCACGCCCAATCATTGCTCTTTGTTGTAAATTATGAACGGGGCTTCAGTGGACTTTCCAGATGATTTGGAGCACTGCAGATCATTCATGCATTACTCAAAGCTGCACTCTGCTCTGGTTGGTTTTGGCTGTATGGAATGTGCGCTGGGTTAGACTTGCAGACGAGCAAAATTACTGTCCCATGTTTCGCTAGTTCTGGGCTTTGCACCTCTGTGAGTTCATCAGTGGCTTGAGTAGAGCGCAAAACCGAACCAGGAATAAACCAGGAGGCCTCAAACAAGCCATTATATTTCCAGTCACCCACCTCAGTAAGCCAATAAAAAAAATCATGGCTCCAAACTCTGATTTATTGTCCTAAAGCAGTGTTTCTCAACCTTAGCAACTTTAAGATGAGTGGACTTCAACTCCCAG